TGCGGTAGAGTTAGAAACACACCAGTCAAGCTGCAGCGAGATGGAGGATGATGTCCAAATCATTGACGACAGAACGCTATCAAACTCGCCACAAAACAGAGACATTTCCAAGGAGGAATACAACAATACGGAAGAAGAGACATCAGACGGTGTCCATACTAATGAAGACAATTCCATCTATGCCCTCCCCTGTGAGTTTTGCAATGAGTTGTGCCCATCCAACAAACTATATGCCCATCAGTCTGAATGCACAGGTAATAACAACGCTGTTGATGATGATGACAATGATGATAATAATCATCTTGAATGCATCAATGATAGACGAAGGCCAGCAAGACAACATTTAGCAAGTGGTCCACATTTATCTGTAAGAAGGGTGGATCCTTTCAACATGGCGAGATTCCATGAGCTTGTGTTTGGTTCTGTTTTCAACTCAATGATGAGAGACCCACAAACAGGACATTATGAAGCCTTTGACAATGATCCATGGCGCATGTACTTTAACAGATAAAATATGTTTGATCCTGCAATTAAATATTAAGTTAATCAGGATGAATCTACCACTACAATTTTTTTGGGCAATATCATGTTAAGATATAGCATTAACTGTATTGTAAAATGCGATTACAAATGTCARTGATGTTCGAAAATTTCTAAGTCAATGTGCTATATTGTTATTATTTACACAGTTGTTTTAACTGTAAGTGATAATGTACTAGTGTTGTTCTAAAATGCTCAGTAAAACATTTGTATATTTTTAGTTTTGTTTCATGGATGTAAGGTGTTCAAATAGTAATATGCACAAGGAAGCCATGAAAAATCATTTCTTTTGAAAGTAATCATGATTAATGATGCAATGAATGCATGGTCAATCACTTACATAAATTGATCATGAATTTACTTTTTCATGAATTTGAGAGGCTGGGTAATAAGCTCACACTATCTCATGTTGATCACTTAAATGAGATTAATAAAAATTGATGTACAAGAGATGTACAAAAGATGTACAAAATTCCTTTGGTGCTACCATGGAAACACGTGGCGAACACTCKCGATTATAATTTGTTTTTCATGAAGTTATTGAAACGTTTCCTGCCGAGACATTTTCTTTGGAAGTTGRGACGCACTTAGTCTTGTGATTAATAATTGATAACTATAAAAATTATTTGATTCTTGTTTGTCATGATCAACTAACGAAGTGTATGCCTCTAAATTAATATCGAAAAAAAGTGTCAGGGAACTAATAATTTGGCAACATGGAAGAATCAAACTATATCATGGTGAGTTTTWACGCTTTTGTTCTCCGTAAAAAAAGGAAAAAAAGCAGCTAAAWTACAAAAGAGTTACAATTACTAAACTAAAGCAAATAATCAAAATAGAGATAGATCACGTTTTTAAAAACAACTTCACCTGCTATATAGCTTTCTAGTATGGTTTAGAAGTTTCATCACTGAAAAACAAATCAAAACTCGGAAACTGATATATTCCAGTTGATTATGCTCAAAAAGCTTTTTCAGTGAACTAAAAAAAGCACTTATAATAAATCGTTCCAATCAAATGTTTCATGCAATGATATAAGATTAGGCCGAGAAAATTTGTGAACGCGCTCCCTTTTTCCAAAACGCATTTCATAATTTTATTACGATGAAGCTTTTTCAGACGACCGTCGATCGATATGTTATGCTATAGAAACGCAACATAGTGCTAAAACTATGAGTGTCAATCTTATTATTTCAGAATAGCAGTATTATCAGCCTAGTTGTCTTGATCAACTTAATGCTGCTGAAAACAACACTGGCCAATAAGTGTGATGCTGCATCTTATCAAGTGTCTAGAAAGGTGCTACGTCTTCACGTGATCCAGTCCTTTCCTGGTACCAGTTCTATAGTCAGCTGTCTTGACCATTGTGAAGACAACTTGTCATGTCACAGCATCAACTGGTACAGTAWKACAGGTCTGTGTCAGCTRAACAACGGTACTCACCTCTCCTACCCTGAGGGTCTTGTGMCAGACTCGACTGGAAGCTACATGCTGTACAGCCTTCGCCCTATGGTTACCTGTARTAACAMRTTTTGCGGTAATGGACACGTTTGTCTGATGGAAAAGGATGGAATCAACTATCATTGTCAATTGAGTAAGCCGAATTACTCGTTTAGGGTAGAAATCCCAGCAGTTAAAATGCAAACAACAACAAAACGTCACTTAGGAACGATCCAGAAAATGCAAAACGTTTACTAAAAGCTATATTATTAAATTATTAAATTAGAATTCATTTTAAAACCAGTGAAACTCATTACCTCAGGTATATAGTTTTGAAAATGCACATTTTTATGTGTTTCTTTCGTTCACTCAGGGTGCAATACGACATACGCGTTGGGGATGCAAGATAAACGTATTCAAGATGCGCAGATTACAGCGTCATCCACGTGGGGGGGCAACGTCCATCATGCACCTTATAATGCCCGGTTACACTCAAAGTTGCATGCTGGTGCCTGGTGCGCAAAGAGGAAAATTGCCGGCGAGTACCTTCAGATTGATTTGAAGAAAAGACACGGAATTAGTAAAGTTGCCACTCAAGGAAGAGAATTTGCTCTTCAATGGGTAAAGAAATACTACCTTCAGTACAGTCAAGACGGCAGCAACTGGAAATCGTACAAATATGGAGGCGCTGTGAAGGTACATCTTCGACAAATCATCATCATGTTATCATATCATCGATAACTAGTATTGCATTTTTTTCAGCATTTTCAAGGTAACTCTGATAAGAATTCAGTCGTTTCCCACAAGCTTCCACCTGATTCAATAATTCTAACAAGATTTATCAGATTTGTAGTACTGGAGTGGCATAGACACATATCCATGAGGGTAGAGATATATGGATGCGATATTCCTTAGGTATCAACATGGAACATGGAAACAGCATAGCTTTACAGTGAGCTGCAGTGTATTTCTTTAATTATTAGAACGTTAGTAAAAGTGTTCCCAGGGACTGCAACAGTTACACATTGATTGTAGACTCAAATATAATGTTTAAATACATCCTCGGGAACCCAGGGGTAATCTTCTGTCGTTCGTTCCTCACTCCCAGAAAAATTTAAATAATACGTATAAATCCAACCTCTTAATAACTTATAAGTTGTGAATTGCACTAGATATGATTTGATTGATATTTTTTTTTTTTCGAGGTAAAACAAGTAGSTTGAGTAAGGAAGTGTCCGAAGAATTTGGGCATCAGACGTTCCGCCTTTGAGAGCCATGGTATATTAACCTCCTAGCAACCAATGTTTGARGAGATCACACGAATTCTTACTCTACAGCGTATAGAAGTATGATAAATATTTAATGAACAGTGGTTCAAAGGAGATATTTGATGCAAAAGAAACATGTTAGCACAACGATTAAAAAATATATTACGCAAACAAACTTATCATTATAAAAAACTTTTTAATTTAAAAATCTCGTCTATTTACAAATGTACGAAGTGGATATTGACATTTTCCAGTTAAAATTGATAACATTGATTGATAACATGATGAATTATTGAAAGTATGGAATATTACATGRATTATTCTAAGCACAGAAATATTAAAACATAGAGAAAATGCTGTTTGATGTTGTGTCACTCATACTTCTGTCAAATTTTGGTCTTTTTGCGGCAGGCTCCATCATGGATAMCGTTCTTGGCATTTTCTGCCAAAAAGAAGAAAGAAAGAAGAAAAAGAAAGAAAAATAGAAAGAAAWAAGAAATTAGTTTTTGGATAKTTTGCAGGTTGGGTGATCATTCACAGAARAAGTGAGAGCAACGTTCAAGRGAAACAATTATTTTATAYATTGAGAAATTAGTGATCTTATAAGTTGTCCAAAGAAAATTAGGTCAAGGTTGTTTCTCAGCAGCCTGTAGATGTTGCGAGTTCAAAGCAACATGTACGCAACTTTTGTTAGCCACTGCACCACCCAATAAAGTTGTATGTGCATGTTCATTTAGTTCATAACCGATCTCTGTATGTAGACCACCTGCTCTCTTCTGCTCTTCGCGGTCGTGCGATTTTGTAATCGCGCGTTTGATAGTCTTTTGGGAACTAGATGCCTTTGTTTTGTCCCCATATGTTTTCATGTAGTAGTAGTTCACGGTCAAGAAGCTTTTCTCAATAAAGCAAAGCTTCCCTTCTCATGCAATCCGTTTTCAATAATTGACAATTAATACTAAAATATAAACGTACCTTAGAATTTTCAGAKTTCACTTTATCATCCACAGCTTTGAATACAAAACTTCTACCGTTAGATGAAGCATTAGGTACACTTGCAGTGATACTTGATAGTCGATTGAGAGTAGCTTTACTGCGGTTCAAAAACGAGCCTTTTTGGGACTGTAGAATGAAGTATGAAAGGTCTGCTTAAACTACTTTTCATGTTTGAAGATACTTTGTTAGATTCATAATAGTTTATGACAAAACAAAGAAAATCAATGTTGTATGCATGACCAAATACTCGCGCAACTACAAGTCAATTGTAAGCCTACAATGATAATTGGTAAGGGAGAAAAGAATTTTAAACTTACGGGTACTCTTTGCAGGCGTGGAGCTGGAGTAATTKGCTTTTTACAAACAATTGGTTGACTTTTATCAGGAACAGAAGGTGAAGCTGCGAAAAAAAAAAAGATTTCACCGGTAAAAGCACGGATGCGAAAATGCTATAATATAAAAGCAATAAGCAACACATTTTCGTGCGTTCCTGCATAAATAACAGTCTGCAAATTGACCGAAGACAGACACTTTTTACAAGGGTAGCTATGTTTTATACCTGTAGGTACTGCATTACTTGTGTCTTTTATGATGTTTAGTATGACTTGACTGTCTTCATCTATGTCTACAATATCTTGGTTACCAGTACTTTTTTGCTATAACAAATTGAGCAGCAATCATTGATCACAATTTTAAATGGTACTTATAAATACCATCCATTGATAAGAATGGTTTTTTTTCGGCTAACATAGGCATTCACAGTCCTATCTTTATTGTGGTGACTGAGTTGTAAGTTGGCAAGTCGTCTTCTCCACAGTTTGAAAAGTAGCTGTACCTTTGCACTGAAGAAACTAGATGATCATTGAGCATACAGTGATAGAAAACTATCTTTCACACCTACAGGCAAGTATTCACAGGCATCTATCATTGCCGCMCAATAATAGCGTCACTTCAATGTTAAGGTACAACTTCCTTTSAAGATGGCACAGTGAACTGTGAAGGAGAATACTGGAAAKTTTGTGTATGATGGTCATTTTGTAAGCATTTCTTTCATCTGCATTTGGAGCTAAACTTYTTTCTTTCTGAAGATTTCAGCCCTCTTATTATCATACAATGTTAGGAATTTCMTTGAGGAAGGATTCTCAATGCAAGCAGTAAAGAAGCTCACTTTGATGGGAGCGAAAAATGSAGTATTTTGCATGAACCTTCCTACCATTTCTTCTCGAATAAAAGTATCTCGTTCAAATCTCTCTTTCCTTCTTTTGCTTTCTTCTTCTGTCAATAATTCTATATTGGCATTGTCATCTTCATCATTCCACATTCTGTTATCAAATAAATCTGCCTGGGAATTAAAATCAATGCCACGCCATCTGAAGTTTCTTTTYCTGCCTTCTCCATGTAGGTCACCATCTTGYAGATAGATATCTTGCATGAGTCTTAGTTCGGCTTTATCTTGATCAAGAATAGACTTCCTRAAATGAYAKTCAATTCAAA